CCCCCCCCCCATTGCCCAGGCCCTTAAGTCTGTAAGGATTTGCCTGTTCTGGACATGACTTGTAAGGGGTTAATGCATATGCGGACCAGCAGTATTTCAAAAGCTCAGCCTCCAGGATCGCCAGTGGCCACGGGATTGGTCGGTGCAGTTGGGTGAACACGGGGCGCCCAGTCGCCTTCGAGCGTGGAAAGGAGGCAGGTGCAGTTGGCGGGAGATTGTGCGCAGGTGGCTGGGGGCAGAGGGCGGAGGCCGGGGGGTAGGGGGCAGGGGGCGGTGGGCGTGGCCTGAAGCTGGCGGCGGTCGCAGGCCGGCGCCCAGGGCACGGGCATGGCGGGCTGGTGGCGGGAGCTCCTGCGCACCGTCCGGCGCTACCCTTGGCCCACGAACGTGCTGCTCTACGCCGCGCTCTTCTCAGCCGGCGACGCGCTGCAGCAGCGGCTGCGGGGCGGCCCTACCGACTGGCGGCAGACCCCGCACGTGGCCACCGTGGCCGTGGCCTTCCACGCGAACTTCAACTACGTGTGGCTGCGACTGCTGGAGCGCGCGCTGCCGGGGCGCGCGCCGCGCGCCGTCCTGGCCAAGGTGCTGTGCGACCAGGCGGTCGGCGGGCCGGTGTACGTCTCTGCCTTCTACTTCGGTGAGGAGCGGGGCCTCGCACCTGGGGGCCGGAACTGGGGGACGGAGGCGGATCCGGAATTGGGGACGAGAGGCAGGGGTCGGAGTTTCAGGGGCTGGGACCGGGCAGGAGCCTGGGGCTCTGGGGGCCGGGGACCGGGGTTGGAATCCTGGGTTGGGAGCCAGGGTTCAAGGGACTGGGAGGGTCTGGATGAGGGCCGGAGGTCGAGGTGCGAGGGTCGAGAAGTCGGGGGACCGTGGATTAACAGGATTGAGGGGAAAGAAATTGAGGGGCGGTTGCCAGAGAGGCCAGGAATTAGGGGGCCAGGTCGCAGTTCGGACGCTGGGCTGCCCGTAGTCTGGGGCTGGAGGTTTCAGGGGGCCTGGAGCGTACGTAGGCCGGAAGTGGGGAGGCAGGGCTGGGGATCCATTTTCCCCTGAGAAAGGTCCACGGGAAGGTCGAGGAGACCCCAGCTTGCTACCATGTCAGCTGTGAGCCCAGTGACCAAGTTGTGGGGCGGGGCCTCCTTTCCACTGGCGGGATACTCCTTTCCAACATACAAACAAAAGGTGAGGGGATTCAGGATGGTGCGGGCAGAGCCGGTGGAATCTGAGGTGCGGCCCGGTTCCCCTCAAAATGTGTGCTCAGGGCGGTAGTCCTGCTTTTGTAACAAGATTTCCCTGAAGGGGGTCCCGTCCCCATATCAAAACCCACAGAAAATGTCAGGAGACCTTGGACCCCTGCCATGAGAGGACTCTGTACCTGTGAGGGTCTGGGGAGCCCCCTCCTCAAAAAGTCCACCCTGGAGCCTGAGGGCCTGACTTTGGGAACCTTTCTTAGCGCCCTAAATTCTAAAAACAATGGCAAGGGCTCTGTGGCCTTCATCTTCATAGCGTTTTCTATTGCTTGGAAGGGAGTGGGCAGGGGAGGGGCACCCAATCCCCTAAGAAAATTCAAGGGTCCTGGGCCTGGCCTTGGCATTGGGGATCACAGATCCCCCAAGGGGTCTTGTCAGTGGCTGTTGGTGCTTTCTTCTAAACTGTGTTGAAGTGGTCAAGTCACCACTTTGAAGGAATCTACACTGCCCCTTGAATCTTATTTTGAGGGCCAGAGTCACTCACAAACTTCACAGGAAACATGCCTGATGCAGTGCCAACCACATGGCCCATGGGGTCAGTGAGGTCAGGGGATGGAGGACCTGAGAGCAGGAGCTGCCTGATTTATCAGAAGATCTGTCTCTGATCCCAGCACGTGACTTCCAGGCCAGATTGGCAAACAGGTTCCTCATGCCTGTTACTGCAGTGCCCTTGTACTCTGGTGATGGGATGGAGGGTTGAGGGCTGCTGGCATTTGGGAGTCAGATTCCTATCTAATCCTAAAACAACCCAGTGAAGCAGGTATTGTTATTCCCATGTTACAGACAAGGAAACTGAGGCTCAAAGGGATAAACGACCTGCCCGAAAGCAACACAATACATGTCATGGTCTTCATCTCCCTGGGGGATGTCAGTGTTCCTGAAACCAGAAAGATGCAGTCACAGGGCTGCAGGGGCCTGTGGTTCAAGCCCGAGGCCCCTGAAACCAATTCCTGCCCACATTGCTTCTTTGTTTTGCATTTCAGATTTCTGGGCCCTGTTTCCGCCTCCTCATGTTAAACTGAAGGGGGAATGGTGGGAAGGGGGGTGGGTTGGATGTTTGTTCAAGGCACTTCAGACTTGGAAATTGCCTGTATCAGATGTTCCTTTGTGCTGGGGCTGCCTTGGGAGGTAGAATAGTTGTGATTGAAAGGTCTGGCTCGGAATCCACACCTGGGTTGGACTTGGATCACTATCAACCTCTCTCAGCTCTTTTCCTCCTCTGCAACTCCACCATCCTTAGCTGAGGGTTAGGAGGGTCAGATGAAAGAAAACACATCAAGTGCTTAGCCCTTAATTAGTGCTGGGTAAGTGGAATGCTATTACCAATATTGGGCTCGGTTTTCTTACCGGTCCTGTTCTAAGAATCCCCTGCAATTGACTAAAAAGATTTTATTTCCCCTTCTTCCTAATCAGAGTTGGAGGAGACTTTTTAAAGCACTGTCATTTTCACACCTTTCCTAAAATAGGAGGGTTTTGTCCTTGTTCCCTGACTTCCTTTTCAGGGCTGTTGAACGTCAAAGTTTTCCAGATGTTTTTAGGAAGTCTGAACTGGTGTTCTGTTTTCAAATTCCATTTAGAAAGCCTCTTAGATGGGAAATCTGTAGTTGCTAGAATACCCAGAGTCCGGCAGCCTTTTTGTAAAAGAAGGAAATTAAATTTTTCAAATTTTAAACATTTCACAAAATGTTATGAAGGGAGAGAAGAAAAGTCACCAATAGTCCCACCATGCTAACACTGAGGTTTTTGTGAATTCTCTAACAGCTTTTTAAAAAAATAATCATTCTGCCATAACTTGGTACCCTATTATTCTCAGTTCATATTTATCATCACTTTAAAATTTACCTAACTTTAGAATGGAGATTATCTTTTGTTTTCACTGTTGGGTCAGACGGAACATACTGAGTTAGTGATAGTGGTGGTTACCTTGCATATTGGAATAGAAAACTTGAACATGAGCTGTTATACAGTATTCTTCGTATTAAATCTTTAAAAATTCTTTTGGTGTGTGTTTTTTCAAATAGGTATGAGTATTCTCCAGGAAAAGGATGACATATTTTTGGACCTGAGACAGAAATTCTGGAATACATATAAGGTAAGACAGACTTGAAAATACGACCAGGATCTTTTTGTATCTTAACATTAAATACATTTAAATAAAAATATTCTTGGGTTTCCCTGGTGGTGCAGTGGTTGAGAGTCTGCCTGCTGATACAGGGGACACGTGTTCATGCCCCGGTCCGGGAAGATCCCACATGCCGCGGAGTGGCTGGGCCTGTGAGCCATGGCCGCTGAGCCTGTGCGTCCGGAGCCTGTGCTCCACAACGGGAGAGGCCACAACAGTGAGAGGCCCACGTACCGCAAAAAAAAAAGAAAAAAGAAAAGAAAATTCTTAAATTAGGGCTCCAGTTGGTTGGCACAGGGTACTATATTTTGACAGATCTTACATTTGTTTTGATAGTTGAATGAGAAGCTTTGAGTGTCTATATGTGTCTCTGAATTTTAGTCAATGTTCACAACGATTTCTGACATTCTTATATTTATTCTTGTTAGTGATCACGGTGATATTTTTGGAGCCAAAGAAGTTATTGCAAAATAGGAATAGTAGAATGTGAGTGGCTTAGTGGAATCATTCTCACATTTAGAGCTGATGTTTCCAAGTGTGCATTCTGTTGAGTCCCTATAAAAGGAACCTTCTTGACATCACAGAGGTATTTACAGAAAAGGAAGATGTTTCCCAGGGTTATCCTGAGGCTGGAATCAAGTCACCTCTTGTCCTGTTTGCTCAGTACAAATATATATATAATCCAATCCCACAAATGTCTATTCATTTATTCAATGAAGATTTATTGAGCAGTGTCCTCAAGACCTGGCAAAGTCAGGGATGCTTTCCATCTCTGGCCTAGTGTGATTCTATTAATGACAGTGTTTGATTCTATTTGATTCTATTAATGACAGTGAGGTGAATTTTCAGGATTCCAGAATATACACAGCCTTGTCTAGGGCTCAACATCTACTTAATTCTTGTTCAAAAGCAGTGCCAAGCCACCCCCAGCCATCCCGCCACCCTCACCCACACCCCCAGCATCTTCTGTTGAACTATTCTGAGCACGAGAACCATTATCACTCGCTTGGTGGTTGAAGGCAGATGACAGGGAGGGTGGAAGCCACATGCTGCCGAGCCTCTCTGGGGGGAAAGCATTCAGAACTCTTGTTACTTCTCTTGAGGCAAAAATTATGGGCCCATGGTGACATCCAAATATGATTTTCTTCTGCTTTACTTTGGGAAAGGAACAAGTTTGCCCATGATGTCATAGATCTCATGGAGATAGGTACATCTGACATTTATACATTTATACGAAGAGCAAGCCAAGCAGAGTTGTAAAAGAAAGGATTTGCAGATATTTCAGATTCTCCTTCTTTAATGAATACATACAGGCTATCTTCATTGGGTAGAAACGTGGCGACTTTTACACACCTTTTTAAAACAGTGGTTCTGGGACTTCCCTGGTGGTCTAGCGGTTAAGACTCTGCACTCCCAATGCAGGGGGCCCAGGTTCGATCCCTGGTCAGGGAACTAGATTCCACATGCCGCAACTAAAGATCCCGCACGCGGCAATGAAGATCCTGGGTGCTGCAACTAAGACCTGGTATGGCCAAATAAATAAATAAATAAATATTAAAAGAAACCCAAACCCAAAAAGCAAAACACAACACAAACAGTGGTTCCAAATGAGTCAGTTGTATCTATGCCCTTGAGAAGAAAGAGGGTACCGGCAGTCTGATGCCCAGCACCATTTGGGGACTTTCCTGAAGATCTCCCATAACAAGAAATTATCTGCTAGGCATTGCACTAGGTGTTAGCAGAAGGTAACACAAAGCATATATATAGATATATATAGAGAGAGATATACACGCACACACATTGCTACTGTCTTTAAGGGACTTACAGTGTAGTGGGGTAGATAGACAAGTAAATAGACAAACATTAACCTCAATGCCAGGAGCAGTGCTCAGAGCATGCAAACCGGTACTTAGCACAGCATGGAGTTGTAAGAGTGCGGCTCAAGGACAGCTTCCGGGGGCAGGTTATGCCTGAGCGGAGTCTTAAAGAACTCAGGGGAGTTAGGCGGATACCTGGGGCCTTTCCAGGGGCAGAAGGAGCCGAGGAAGGAATGCATAAAACACTGTGGTGTACCTGTAAGGAGGAAACTACAAGGGATGCTATTCATAGAATATAAAATATGAATTGAGGAGCAACTGCAAATGACTTTGGATCTTGGAAGGTGTTGAAGGCCATGCCAAGGATCTTGAACTTAAGTAATTACTGGCAAGGGAGACCAGTTAGAGGGTTACTGTGACCAAGTTCACGTAAGAAATCATGAAGCAGTGGGCAGAGGAAGGATTTCAAAAATACTTAGGAGATAGAATTGGTAGGTCTTGATGATGGATTGGAAGTAGGGTTGACGGGCAAGGACACATCTACGGTGACCCATCCGCATTTACTGGGTAGCATGCAGCATTCTGTAAGCAAGAGCCCACTTTTCTCTCCCAGTTATTTGCTTATTTCTCTGTTATCAGTAGGGACTCAGGGATTCCCATTTTATTGATGGTTTATAATTCATTGCTGTGTTTAATTATTTTTGTTTTTGCAAATGTCCCAGACTTGGCCAGTGAGGGTTGCTTCAAGCTGGCTCCTATTTCCTTGTGATACCCCCCATCGTTTTTTTTAAGCCACTTCCTTACTTTATATCATAAAGATAGATGTTCTAGGCTCATCTTGTACCTTGTACCTTGTATTTGCCCTGCTCTGGCCCTGGAATCAACCATTTCTTTGAGGAGTTCTTTTTCTTTTTTGTGGGGAATGGCATGGGAGACCAAGATCTGCACACTGAGTGAGGCTACATTCTGAAGAAAAAAAATTGCCGTAAGAAGTGAAGCCATGTTTGGATGGGTTTTTCCTAAAGTAGTAAATTCTTTTTTTAAAAAATAAATTTATTTATTTATTCATTTGTTTAATTTTTGGCTGTATTGGGTCTTCACTGCTGCATGGGGGTTTTCTCTAGTTGCTGAGAGCGGGGGCTACTCTTCGTTGCAGTGCGTGGGCTTCTCATCGCGGTGGCTTCTCTTGTTGCAGAGCACGGGCTCTAGGCACGTGGGCTTCAGTAGTTGTGGCCCGCGGACTCTAGAGCACAGGCTCAGTAGTTGTGGTGCACAGGCTTAGTTGCTCCACGGCATGTGGGATCTTCTCTAGAGCACAGGCTCAGTAGTTGTGGTGCACAGGCTTAGTTGCTCCACGGCATGTGGGATCTTCCCGGACCAGGGCTCAAACCCGTGTCCCCTGCGTTCGCACGTGGATTCTTAACAACTGCACCACCAGGGAAGCCCCTAAAGTAGTAAATTCTTAAATGAGTGTACACTTTAAATTTTAAATAGCTTTTATTGCAACAGTTTATTATAGAAACTTTAGAAAATAAAAATTAGTAAAAAAAAAAGAAAAAATAATACCACCTTTATATTACTAGTGTAATACCACTTGTAAGGACTATTTTAAAAACCTCTAGTTTTTTTTTTTTAATATATAATTTACATACCAAGATCTCTATCTTTGAAAAAAAATCCATAATGATGACTCTTTTGTCAGAATGAACAGGTTAAGGCCTGTTAAAATAAATCCATCTTTTTCTTTTTTTGGCCACACCACGCGGCTTGCAGGATCTTAGTTCCCTGACCAGGGATCAAACCTGGGCCCCACCAGTGAAAGCCCTGAGTCCTAACTCCTGGACCACCGGGGAATTCCCACAAATAAATACATCTTAAAAGCTAAACTTATTCTGTAGCATGAAGTAGTTAGAATATATTATTGTCAAATCACCATAAAGAACAGTTTAGTCTAGAGTTTTAAAAATTCATTGATGATCCTGTATTTTATCAATATTTCCCTTGCATCATTTGCATGGGCAAACAGGAAAATTGCAATATATAAATATGTGTTGTGGACTTCCCTGGTGGCTCAGTGGTTAAGAACCTGCCTGCCAATGCAGGGGACGCGGATTCGAGCCCTCGTCCGGGAAGAACCCACATGCCGTGGAGCAACTAAGTCCGTGAGCCACAACTACTGAGCCTGCATGCCACGACTACTGAAGTCTGTGCGCCTAGAGCCCGTGCTCCACAACAAGAGAAGCCACCTTAATGAGAAGCCTGTGTACCACAACAAAGAGTACCCCACCCTCGCCGCAACTAGAGAAAGCCCGCACGCAGCAACGAAGGCCCAACGCAACCAAAAGTAAAATATAAATACATTTAAATAAATAAATATGTGTTGTTATTTTGAAAGCAGTTGTCTTCCAGAATTGGTACTGATTCAGGTAGACTTTTTATTGTAAATTTGTGAATATAATAAAAATCTTTATTCTTGTGCCTAACGGCTGTTTGTACAACTCCTTACCCTCTTCCACTCAAGAGACCGTAAGTAGTCTAATTTAATCTGCTTAGTCTGAAATGTAATACCGCGTCCACATTCCACCTGCCTGGTGTTTCTTAATGCTTTATAGAACGAACCGTGTGATCGTTTTGTGCTATTAAAAAGCATCCTAATAAAGTTTTTCTTTATTCCAGAGTGGTCTGATGTACTGGCCTTTTATACAGGTGAGTTTCAAACTACTTAGAATGCCAACTCATGGGTCTGGTTTATATGGAGCCCTAAAAGACTCTTTCTCTCTCTGTTATAGCTGACCAACTTCAGCCTCGTTCCTGTTCACTGGAGAACAGCTTACACTGGGCTCTGTGCTTTTCTGTGGGCCACTTTCCTCTGCTTTTCACAACAGGGTGGTGATGGTACCTTGAAGTCAGCTTTTACTTTCCTTTGTATAAAGGGAACAAATGAAGTTGAAAGACCCCCAGAGAAATGACAAGTCAAGAACACCCTGAAATTGACTAATTTTTTTCCCTTAAATGCAGAGGATTGCTTGCAGATGAAGTACCCTGCTTACCAGTTATGTGCTCCATTTTGAAGAATTACTATTCTGTAGACCCGATTGTTTTTTTTGTTTTGTTTTTTTATTGCGGTATGCGGGCCTCTCACTGTTGTGGCCTCTCCCTTTGCGGAGCACAGGCTCCAGACGCGCAGGCTCAGCGGCCATGGCTCACGGGCCTAGCCGCTTCGTGGCATGTGGGATCTTCCCGACCGGGGCACGAACCCGTGTCCCCTGCATCGGCAGGTGGACTCTCAACCACTGTGCCACCAGAGAAGCCCGACCCGATTGTTTTTTAATTAGCAATGATAACTTTCAATTTTATTCAGATCTCCTTTTTTTTCATTCTAATCCAAAAGTATTATTGATACTTCTCTAGTATTTTCACTTCCCTAATACTTTGGTTAATATCAATAACAGTGGCAGAATGGCAATTTATAATCATTACTATTTCTGGTCTAATCTTTTATTGCCAGTTGATTTAAGGAGCTTCCATTTTGATTGTATACATCTCTCTTCTGAAATCTCAGGTTATCTCTTAAACACTTTTGGCTCAGATTACCTTTTATACCAAAAATAGTCCTTATAGTTAATTTCTGTTTACACAGAATTCAATCAGGAATATGGAATAACCAAATTTTCCCCTAAAATGCTGTATAATAATTTATTGTTATGCTAATACTAAAGTTCTGGAAGTATGTTTTATATAAAAAGAAATGTGCACAGTGTATGATTAGTGTTTTGTATAGAGTGTATTTTACTGATGTCTTCTACTTTTATAGTTTTTAATTATTTTTTTAGTTAATGTTTTTTAGTTTTCAGCATAGTCACTTGGCTAAATATCCCATTTCCTAGATACATGAAATATATAAAATATTTGGCTTTTAAAAGAAATATATTGAGTGAAGTTTCTAAAAAAAATTAATAAGTTTTCTTCTGGAAGGGAGAACTCTATTCCATAAAGTTCCAGGGAAAATGGTTACCCCAAATTCACACTGATGTTATCTTTTTTAAAATTAGTGCTTTAACATAAATCTAATAGGTAATCTTTAAGGTGTACATGAGAAACTTGATCCAGTTTTTCAGATTTACTCAGTTTTTCTAACTTCAAAACCAGTGGGTTTAAAAATTATTTGACTATTTCAAGAAGTTCTAGCAATTTTCACCCGAGAATTGCATCACTATCCTGTTGCTTTCCATGGAGTGTTTCACAGATTTAAAGATGTGAAGCACTGAGATGTTAATATATTTATCTTGAGAATTTATATTTAAGATTAATTTAAGAATGTATGCCTAAATATTTTAAGCATGTAATTTATATAACTTGTAATATAAATTTATATGTCATAAGTAAATAACTTTTAAGTGTGGATTTATTTGAATTTAACAGATATGAGTATATTTTACATTATTGGGGCAAGAGTAAAGAAATTTCTAGATAGTTTAATTCTAAAATAATTTTTTTTCAGTAGTTTTAAAGGTAGTTCGTACAACAGAAGAGCTATTTCACAACATATAAGACACGTTTTGTCATTTGAAAAGAATATCCAGAGTAACTATAGAAAGAACTACCTGGCAATCTTTTAGATGAGCGTCAGTATTACTTATGGTGGAAGAATAGTGTTTGGGAAAATATTTCAGAAAACGGACCTTGTTTATACTGTCGAGGGGGAAAAGCTTATTATTCATAAAAGTATGATAATCTTTACTCAATAATGTGTTACTCTGTACTGTAGAGAGAATATGTAGCATGTATTCTCTGAATTTTTAAAATAATACCCTTTTAATTTTTATGCAGGACTACTTTTTTTTTTAGTGTGAGAAATGGAACTCATTCGAAATAATGCAGTGTTTGTTTTAAAATGCTGCTGTCCTTGGTAAAACACGCTCTCAACCTTCCAGTGTTTAGAACAGAGCAGGTGGCTCTTATTCTTCTTCCAGATTTTCCCATTCATAAGGTTTCTTTAACTTGCTTGTGTGTTGCCACCTGGCCCCTTTTCTGGCCCCCCTGGTTGCTCAGGCAAAGGCAAAAGCTTTCATTGATTTTCCTTGACAGAGTTGAGGTAGACTGGATTTTCAAAACAACTTTACCTAATACGTGTAGAAAACAAAAAGGAAATTTAGAGGATGTTGAAGCATTTTTTTGAAAAAAGTTTACAGAATATTGCTTTTTGATCCTGGGTCCTGGCATTTGACGTATTTACCTTGTAACTCTAATGGCACCTACCCAGCTTTCCTACTTTTCTGATGCCCTGATGGTCATTGTATGGTTATGCCATTGGCCACCACTACTGGGGAGTTGTCTTCTTGGCCCTGCTACCAGTAAAATCAAGAGTGCCCAGTCCCATCTTTTTGGACTAGTGGTTTCCATTTCCAGTCTCAGATATAGGCCTTTTACCCAGATAACTGAAAAATGATTTCTCAGTTCAGGGGAGATCTTTTCCTTCTATACAAGTGGATGCAACCATCCTTATAGTCCACCAGGATAACCATAGTAGATAAAATTTCATAACCCTTATGTAAATAATAAATTGTTATTAAAGGGCCACTGTAGGGATGTGAAGAGGGTAAACAAGGCAATAACTGTTAAAAGAAGTCCGTGGTCTAGTTGGGAGTATAAGTGAAGAAATTGATAATCAGGTTCTCAGGACATCTAATCCGATTCATCATTCATTGCTTGAACAGCATCCGTGACAAGTGGTCAATAGAAAGCTTGAATATTACTCAAGTAATGCGTCCCAGCTGTAGGTTAGTGACATAAGCAGTAGGTACTTTGAAGTCATGGCGCCCGAGGCAACCTGGGAAGGCTCCATGGAGGAGATGCCTGAGCTGGGTCTTGAAGGATGGAAAGTCGCAAGACTGAAGTTCTGAACTGGAGTGGTGATGGTAGGATCAGATGAGATGAGATCTTGAAAGAGAGAGAAGAAAAAGAAAAGGCATTCAAGTTCTAAATTAGAGGGAATTTCCATTGGCTGTTCCTCAACTTTGAATAAAGTAGATGTTTCTGTCCAGCTTACTTGTAATTAAAAATCATGCATAATTTGTAACCTATCAGTCTTTTTCATTTGTAGGAAAATTAATGAAAGTTATTCCCTTTTAGCTATATCATAGTGGGTTTGGTGAGGAAAAATTAGGCAATGTGAGAGTTTGCAAGTTCGCAATTTTTTTTGCATAAAAATTTCTGATATCAAGTTTGAGAGTGGCATGTAAAAATATTTTCCTCAAAATCTGTCAGTAAGGTGATTCAGCAGACAAAGTGATTATCTGCCCACTACACAGTCAGTGAAATTTTGCATTTAGGGGCTCATGAGATTTTGCATTTAGGGGTTCATTTAGGGGTTCACGAAGGATGCTTTAGGAAAACTTTATCTTATTTGTATTGATGTTTTGGGGGGCCAGAATAAGAAAAGCGTTTAATGAATCAGAGGAATTACAGCTACTAAAAGATAATTCAAAGAGGAAAACAGTTTCACATTCTAGTACTTCATTAATAATTGCAATTTTGGTTTTTAATACTTTGAAGAAAATTTTGTTTCATTTCTTTCACTATAAAACACATAGATATAGAGATTTAACTTTGGTATTTCAGGTTGTGTATAAATAAGGCCTCCAAATCAACTGTGTTAACCACAACCAAATTAAACGTAGATAGTCTCTCTAATTGAGGTAGATGACCCAGAATTACAGTTTTTAACTCGCCCATACTTTATTTCTCTCCAAGAATTGTCATCCTTTAGGATTCATTTGAAGCTATTGAAAAATATCTTTTGCTAGGTGGGCAATTTACTTTTAGTTCAGTGAAATTTTATGTGAATTTCTATAGTGTTTGCCAAAACAAATTATACCCAGAACATGCTTAACCATATATTCTGGATGCAGCTTTCGTTTGAAATTAGGTTCATTAAATTAGAAATTTAATGGATTTTTTGTGCCTGAAGATCTTGACCTTGCATTGGCTACACTTAACCTAGTTTTACCCACAATGTTTAGAATCTAAAGAACAGAAAATGCAATTAAACAACTATTGAAAATTTTTCTTTTTATAATGGGGAATAAGTGAAAGGGGAAATCTGGAGATTAACAATAAAGGATGTACTTGGAATTTCAAGCTACTGTGAGCAGTAGCCAACCAAGTCAATAAAATGGAATAGTTAGCAACTGAGTAACATTATTGGCATATATCAGTTAGAAGCGTATCTTTTTTTAGTTCTCTTCCCCCTTGTGTCTTTCTTTCCTTAAATCTTTATTTATCCATACCTTCCTTCCTTTCTCTGTCAAATGGCCATAACAAGCCCCCTTCTCCTGTCCTTCATCCCTCCCTAACCCTGACCACCCAGACAATCCAAGGGGACAGAATAACTGTGATGAAGTTAGGGATCAGACTACTTAAGTGACATGACAGCCATGATGTAGAGAGATGGTAGCAGAGCCTCCTCTTTGGATCTTTTCTTCCCTCTGGGGGAAGAAAATGTGGAAGGATCAATCAGCCCTAGGGAGAATTTTGAAGTGAGTGAACATTCTGGAGGCAGCTTCCATTAGAAATTGGGTTCATCTTCTGAAAGTATTAGAAACTTAATGTGTCCTTGTACTTGAAGATTTTGACCTTGAAGTGTCCCCTTTCTTTTCAGAGATCCTCTCCTTCCTCTGGATGCCCGTTCCCTGCATTCTCTCTGACTTAGTGCTATATCTTCCAAATCAGTTCTCATGTCTTTTCCTCACCTCTCAAAACTCCCATTCTCTCTATCTGACTGATTTCAGCTACATTTAGAAAAGTAGGTTTATTAAGCTAATTTACTGAGATGTGGATGACAGCCTTTCTAGTTGAGTTTTGTTTTGTTTTAATTGCTAACACAAATGAATCTCTGGATGGAATTTTAGTAACTATTGCTGTGGTGGGAGGGGGTGGAGATAAGAGGGTATTTTTTGGCAAGAAGACC